GCTTTGAATTTCTTCGTCGTCCGTACCCCAACCTTGCTGACCGTAGTCCGGCCAGGGCTCTCCTGATAAAGAGAGAGACTTCAGTGACTTCAGGATATCGCCGAAAGGCGAGTGCTGAAAGATGTTCGCAGAAGTGAACTCCATGATCGGCGCCCAATCGGATTCGATCGGTAGGGGCGCGGAGGGTTCGGAGTCCGTAGAGGAGTCCGGCTCCTTGGACACGAGTCTCGCAGAGTACGGGGCTGGTGCCTGGCTCAGTCGCCGTGGGGGTCGCAGCCCCCGGGGTGGCGTCCAACCGCCCATCCTCGATCGGCGCAGTTGGCTCCGAATTAAGGGTCGAAGCCGATGCGTGTGCGGCCTCCAGGGAACTGTTTGGCGACAGAGCTAGATCATGCTCGTCGTGACAGTGTGGCGCGCTCGGCCGTGGCTCGAATCCGTCGAAGATCAAGTCCCCGCGGATGTCAGCCGTGTAGTTTAAATTTCCAAATCTGACCTGACAGCCAGGGGCGTAGCTTTCGATCTGCTCCAGATGGCCAAGCGAATTGGCCCGCAGTGCGAAGCCGCCGAAGACAAAGATCTTTTCGGGGAGGAAGGTCTCACCCTGGACTGCATCGCTATCGATGATCGTAGGAGCCATCAAGCCTGACGGCGATGACACGGAGGAACTCTCAATGAAAGCACCAATGTCGGTGTCAAAACCAGCGGATCTCGGGTAGGGGGTCCCGATCTGTGCGTCTAGGCCGGATGGTAACAGGAGGCAGGGGACACAAAGTTTTACCCAGGTTCGGGCCCTCTCGATGGAGGTAAAACCCTACGTCCTGCTTGATTAATATTGATGATATGGGTAGTACAAGAGTAGATCTACCACGAGATCGAGGAGGCTAAACCCTAGAAGCTAGCCTGTGGTATGATTGTTGATGTGTATGTTGTCCTACGGACTAAAACCCTCCGGTTTATATAGGCACCGGATAGGGTTAGGGTTACATAGAGTCGGTTACAATGGTAGGAGATCTGCATATCCGTATCGCCAAGCTTGCCTCCACGCCAAGGAAAGTCCCCTCCGGACACGGGACGAAGTCTTCAATCTTGTGTCTTCATAGTCCAGGAGTCCGGCTGAAGGTATAGTCCGGCCATCCAGACACCCCCTAATCCAGGACTCCCTCAGCCACCATACTTTGTCTTTATGAATGTGCCATCAATACATATGATTGGCCTACATCCCTTCAGCCACCCTACTTTGCAAGCTGCCAAACTGAAATAACAAGTACTAAACAACCCATTCTCCAGGTTTAGATAGAAAGATGAACCTGGATTGCTATGTCTCACTTCCTCTACATATCTCCAAAGCAGTGAGTACTGCTTCACCTCATCCCCATGCACCACTTCCAATGCTGCTTTCCTAGTTCTACCTAGCTTGTGTCTGCTAACTTCCATGTTAAATTTCTTCCTGACTTTCCTTGAAAATGTAGCTAGAGAAATCTTCTCATTATCTCTGAACTTCTCCACATATTTGCTAGCAAGAAAGGGGGATGTTAGTTCTTTGACATCCCAGACCTTCTCACAAGTGTGCTCTGCAATTAAAGTCTTCACAAGAAAAGATTGTGTCCTATTGTCATTGACAGCCACTAGTTTCCAAGGGCAACCCTCTTCACACACTGCCTCAAATCTTTGTTTATTATTTCTTTTCTTCCTAATTTGCACCCTGTTCTTCACTGCATACTGTGCTACTACTTTCCTAAGGAACTCCACAGAATCAAAAACCATGCCCAGCTTGAATTGAGGGTTTTCCATGTCAACAGCTGGGTTAAATGGTTTAAACCTATAAATGGGTTTCTCCTTCTTTTTTTTCTTCTTATACTCCTCATCATCAGAGTCACTTTTATGTTTTCTCTCACAGTCATCCTCTTCTGGCAGCTGCAAATCATCTTCATACACATCATCTGTCCCAGGAATATGCCTGTACTCAGCACCAATACTTTTGCCTTTCTCAATCAAAGTATCATGCACAACAGCATCTACATTCTTGTCATACTCCTCATCCTCCTCCTCCATTCCATAATCACTGTCATACCAAGTAGGATCTATGTCTGAATCACATTCATACTCTTCTTCTGAAACTTTTGAATTTTCTAATATATCTGCATCTTCTTGTTGCTCTGAATTTTCTGCCTCCTCTGACATTTCTCTGTTTTCATCTTCTTGTCCTTTCTAAGTGGACTAAATATAACTTTGGGTAGAACAGGGCAACCTTTGAACACAATGTCATCTTCCTCCTGCATCTCAGGTTTTCTGATATGCCTGACAAACAAAACCAGTACCTTTGAGTGAACAAAGGCTTTGGCCATCTTCTGACAGTGAACTTCCAGGATGATTTCCACCATATCTGCAAGTGTTTTTCCAGGTGGGCACCAATACATAATTTTCTCATGATCAGGATAATTCAATTGTGCTAGCATGTAGTAGATGCAGTCACTGCAAAAAGTTCTTCTGTCCAGATTGTCAAACCAACATATCTTCTCATCCAAATATGTCAGATTCACTCCCTTCCCCACAAAAAACCCACCATGATGCACCTCCACACTGAAATTCACTGATTCATAACCTACATTCAACAATGGACAGTGCATTCAATATATACATTCAAAAAACACACTACTAACCCTAGCTGCCATCCCCAAAAATATTATGTGATACAAATCGTAGATGAATACCAACACACCCTAACTACTACTGCTCATTCAAGTCATAAAACTACTACGATGCTCCAGCGATCATCATCTATTGCCGAAGGGAGAAAACCCTAACTAAATTGGGGAAAAACTTACCGTATATCGGCCTCCCATGCGCTTCGGTCCTCAGGAGTGGCAACTCCATCGCCGGATCCACCGTCGTCGCCGATGACTGACTTGCCGCCGACCAGCTCGCCGCGCCAGCGACGCCGCCTGTCTCCTCTCCCATCGGCGAAGAACACGAACAAGCAAAGAACAAGAGGAAAGGGGGGCTAAGTGCCTTTTGCCCTGGATCCAGGGGTCTTTGTGCAAAAAAACGATGCAGTCCAGAGGCCTCACGTGCGCCATGCATGACAGCGAAACAGAAAAAATCGGGCAACGGCGCGGTTCAGCTGGTGTGTGTGACTTGATTGCACCCGCAACGCAAGTTCTGCGACGGGTTTTTCCGGTTTGCAAGTAGTGTGACTTAAGTGCACCCGTGGTGCAAGTTTTTAGACCGCCGGTGCTATTTACTCGCCGACCAGTGTGCTGCTCGTAGATGTTACAATCGTGAAATTTGGTAATCAGAGCTATCGATCCTGTCGAATTGTCTTCGTTCGTGGTGTTCTAATTTGGAGATCCTTGGAAATCCGCTGCGATGTGTGTGAATTCACTTCAGTGATTTCGGCAAAACACCTCGGTGTATCGACACAAGGTTGAGTTGATCCCCGACCCTCCAGGAATTACAGATGTTAGCCCGCGACCACCGTGACCATAGCCAAGGACAACGCGGAGGCCTCAGGCTCCCACACCAAGCAGATCGACCTGTTGGTGGGCAAGGTGGATGGTGTTCTTCAATCACAAACCACGCTACTCTCTAAACACCGGCAGAACACATCAATAGTAACTCGCCTGCTGAACTCATCTAATTCCTTTTTTTTTTGCGAGGGAACTCATCTAATTCCTTGACTAAGAGAGTGGAAGGGCAGATGAGAAGGATGGAAGTGATCAAGGGTAGTCAACACACCACACATGACACAACCAGTAGCGCTATGGATCATAGGGCTGCAGGACCAGGAGGAAATACATACATATCATCAAGAGGCGCAGACTAGGACAATACAGGCTGCAAAGTTTACATTTACATCACTACAACAACGATCATTTTGTAGAGATTTGGAGAACCATCTACTAACCATCAGTTTGACCCCCAAAAAATCTAGTAACTATCAAATCGCACCAGAAAATCAGTAAACATAGTAGCAGGAATGTATCACCGCTTTTCAAATTCTCACTTGTCAAAAACAAAACAAATTCAGTCACCGGTCACCACCAACAAACCAAGAAAGCACCGGCAACTTATTCGGTAGATCACAAGCATATGGCAGAGGTTAGTAACAATTACATCACAGCAGAAAAATGACTTCCGGCAAGAAATGGACAAGTCTAATTGTCACACACGTATAGACATTTTAAAAGTACACCAAACTGCTATGTACTACTGTCAGTATAAGTAACACTAACTAGTACCGGAACAAGAACACCACATAGCAAGGAAACCAATTAGGTTGCTCTTAGTCTTCCATGTCAAGTTAATGAACAATATACTCTGTTCTGCACCTACCTACTCTGAGCAGATCATGAATCTGAAAATTTACATTTACATTACTACAAAGCACACTCACTTTTCAGATTAGGACGGCCACCTAGTAACTGTCGAATCACGTGAAAAATCAGTAGCAGAAATGTACTGTTGCTTTTGAAATCTCATTTTGCCAAAAGCAGCACAAAATTCAGTTATCACCAACGAGCCAACAAAGCACGTTAATGATCATCGATCACAGCAGCAATTAATTTCAGGGTGCTCGACGACAGCAGGCAATTAAACATGACGATTGAACAATGGAGTCTCTTGGTTCTGCAACTCATGCAGAACCTAGAATCTCATCTCACATTACTGAAAAACAAAATCGTATGGCAAAGTTTAGTAGCAACTGCATCATCACAGAAGAAATGAATCATTTCTTTCCAAATCTCCAGTTTACAAGAGCATCACAAACTCAGTTCTTACAACAAAGAGACAAGCAATCATTCAGCAACTTGCATCCACCAGTAACCAGAGTCAACAACCACTAAAGTAACAGAACCATCTACACATTTCTACTACGAACACGATCTAAGATGATGTGGATTTGGTGACGGCCTTGGTGCCATGGTAGAGCCAAGCAACCGTTGAGCAACTTCTATCCAGCACTAGTACTTAAACCACATGCAGATAACCAAAGTCAACAACTACTCTTCCTCCGAAGATACATAAAATGCCTTGTAATTTTTGAAATTGTCGACGGCAGCGTCGCCATGTTCGAAGGCAATCGTGGAGAGACTGCCGGGGAGGATGAAGCGGACGGAGGTCCGGATCTCCCGGGGGCCGATGGTGGTCTTCTTGTTGTAGCGGGCGAGCTTGCCGGCCTCGGCGGCGAGCCTCTCGAACATGTCGTTGACGAAGGAGTTCATGGCGGCCATGGCCTTGGAGGTGATGCCGACCTCCTTGCCGTGCACCTCCTTGAGCACCCTGTAGATGTGGACCTTGTAGGTCTCCTTCCTCCTCTTGCCCTCCTTCCGGCCCCGCTTCTTGCCGCCGCCCGCCTTGGAGGCCGTTTCGCCCGCCGGCAGACGCTTCTCTGCCACGGGCTTCTTCCCGGCAGTTGCCGCGGGCTTCTCGGCCGCCTTCTCCGTCGCGGGCTCCTTCTCCGCGGGCTTCTTCTCGGCCGCCTTCTCCGTCGCGGGCTCCTTCTCCGCGGGCTTCTTCTCGGCCGCCTTCTCCGTCGCTGGCTCCTTCTCCGCCGCGGGCTTCTTCTCGGCCGCCTTCTCCGCCGCGGGATCCTTCTCCGCCGGCTTCTTCTCCGCCGCCTTGGGGGCCATCGCTGGTGCGCGGCGGTGGTTGGGGCTTTTGGTGGTGGTTTGCGTTTCGTGCGTAGTGGAAGGTGGTGGGTTTGGAACGAGAAGTGGGAAGGAGGTTTATAAAGGGAGAAGAGGCGGGCGCTGATTGGAGGAGGGGGTGGTGGCCCGGATCGGTGGGGTCGTGTGGTAGGACCGTAGGATGCGTCCCGCGCTGGCTCGCGTGGACGGACGGATGTGGTTCCCTTGGATCGCTGGCCTGGCAAAAAATGGGCGCGAGAACGGTTGAGCACCTCCGTTTCCTTTTTCTTTTCCTTTTTGAGCCCATAACCTCCGTTTATTTTATTTTCTTTTGCTCTCTTTATTATTGAGCCGAGCACCATCCCTGATATCCTCCGTTTATTTTGAGCCCATAACCTCCATGGATTTGTTTTTTGTTTACTTAACTGTGTATTATTATGAATATCGAGAAGAATGAATATCCATTTCGCTATTGTTTTGAGCCCAACAATTTTCATGCCGTTTTGAGTCACACTGAGATGCTTAAACCTCATTTTTATGTAAGAACATAACGGTGTCAAAGATAGGATAAACATAGGAACGGATTTCCTTTGCAACAAACCTAAGCCAGTAAGATGAAGAAAATAAAACAGGACAGATCATTTCCATATATGTCTATATATCTTGTACACCAAGAAAAAATAGCACCATACTACTAACCAAAACTACAACGCATTTAAAGAGGAAAAGTGATATAGTTAGTTTTGTTTCGGAAAGGAAATACAACCAATTCATTGCCGCCGATCCGATCAGACAAAATATGGAGGAAGAAGTGGACGATGACCATAGTAACGGCGACTCCGATTCACGGAGTTTCAATCACGGTACGTTAGGCTACCAAGGGGGCACAAGTGGTGGGGCCGAACGACGTCGGAGCATCGACCCGGCGCCGCACGTCATGACGCGGAGCACGGACGTGCCACGAGGCTATGTTATATGATCGACGAGCTCGATCTCACCAACCTGCCAGCCGGCCGTCGCGCCCATGGCACTGCTGCCAGGATGCCACCGGCAGCAAGAGCACATCGTCGCCCGAACTCAACTGCTTCCCCATACACCGTCGTGGGGGGCTTGGTCAGAAGGGAACTGCTAGAGATCTGGTGTCGTCAAAGCCGCTCGAGAGACGGGGTGGCGGAGGAGAGTAGTTGCATGGAGGAGGGGTATGGGGTAGACATGGTCGCCAAAGCTAGTGCCAAGCGCTCCTCGACACACAACCTGACCATACACACATTGACCACAACTACCACCGTCTAGACTCCCCTCCCCGCTACCACCGAGGAGACATCACTCTACATGTGTTGCCTCGCCCACTGTTCATCCTCTGCCTCGGTGGAAAACAAGCTAATGTGAATCATCGGAGTCGGAGGGGGCATGTGCAGTGGCTAGGTCGTCGCTGATGACGAGCAAGCACATGGTCGCGATGGAGGAGTCCCCCTTGCACCACCTAGCTGACAATGAGGGTCATGATGACGATGGTGGTAGGGCAAAAGGCAAACTACTTCCTTTGTTCCCTAATGTAAGACCTTTTGGCCTTTTCTTGATTCGTATGTATCTACACACATTTTAATATGTATGTATGTTCACTCAATTTAGTATGTATGTAGTCAACATTTTGAAATGACTAAAAGGTCTTATATTAGAGCACGGAGGGAGTAATATATAACCAATTGCACGACATCGAGACGTGAGCATGCGCTCGGGACGAGGAGGAGCCAGGTAGTGAGAAGTGAGAGAGTGAGTTCCCAGGTGTGTTGACAAAATATGAGTGACATTAACCCACATAGGTACCATGAAAACAAGTTTTACACAATTGTATATGGATCTTTTAGTAATATGTCAAGTACCAGAAGTAAGTGATTGTAATATGAAAAGTACCGATGGAGAAAACATTTGTCGTAAGATGTTGACGACCTCGAGGAAGCCACGGTGAAAACGAAGCATCGGTCAGGTCAACATTTGAGAGATAAAAATTAAAAAAATGAATTTAGAAGAATCTTTGATAATGTCATACCATTGGATGCATGCCTCGAAAGGAAGGTGTGGCACCGAAGACATTTCTGACTTTTGTTGTTCAAGTCACTAACTTGGAGCTAGCAAATTGTCCTAATCTGTTTATTATCCAAATATCCATACAATAAAACAATGAATGCCATGATCGGCAAATTATTTTCGAAATATTTAAGTATTTTTCCATGTTGCATGGCTATTCAAATATGCAAGAATTGTATGATGGCTCTCTTCCAGCTTCTGGATGCGACAGTCTTTTTGTCCGCTTCTTCTCTGTGTGGTGAAGCGGCTACCGATGTTTGGCCTCTTGGTCTTTAAGCTTCTCGTTGAGGAGTTGTGCACGTCAGCGATGTGCTTCCGTCGAGGTTTAGGGCGTCGGGTGGTGCAACATGGGGAGGGTTAGGGTGCCCAAGTAGCTGCAGAGGAGCCAAACCCCCGTCCACGGCATCGGCCGGAGAGCCAAGGGGACATCGACGTGCAGCGGATTCTGGGAAGTTCAGGACACAGCCTCAGCACAGCACGCGTGCATGGAGTTCCAGCCGCCGGACCGTCACTCTGGGAGGGAGTGGGTTGGGCCGAAGAGCCGAACCCTCGTCGGTGGCGAGGTCGTCTGGTCGCCCCTCAATCTATTTGCTCTATAGTCCAGTTAGCGTGCAGCACGCGGTGTGAATGGAAGTACTTATTCAAATACAAAAAGCTTTGTTATTTAGAGGATTAATTGAGAAAATAAAAACGGTCGGATTGGAACTAGCGGCCGATATGGATGTTTACAACACCTGTGCAGTAATACTTGGATTGCAGAGGAGCCGAACACATTCCAACTGGAGCGTGGATTCATGAGTTTGGGTATTTTGGAGATGAAGATTTCTAGTAGTTCCGTGTTTTGAGTATGTGGAAATTACTTCATGTGTCTTTCATATAGAGGAATTTCCAAACTTATGATTAGGTTTTTTTTTGGAACGAAGGCTCAAGAAGAGCCCGGCTTTGAATTAACAAAGCCATCAACCGGCCAGGCGTACAAGACTGCGACTTACAACAAGAAAGAGGAAAGCGGAAAGAAAAAGATACAATGTGCTCAGCAGAACAACTCGAAGGCAAAGAGTACACCACTCTTGCCATCGAACGACGCAAAGCCAAAACTAGCTAACCTACGGAGGTGCCAGGAGGAGGGCACCACCATTCAAGATTTGTGTCGCTGGCTGCCACCAAAGGGGATCAAACAGGGCAAACATGACCTGACTCCGCCGCTGCAAAGGGTCCCTACCCTACCACCCGGGTTCGACGGGTGCCGCACCGGCGGCTGACGAAGTGATTCACCCTAGAATCCAAATCAGAGTGCCCCGGCTGCCCAAGGAGATGCACCAGAGACAGACCCACATGAAACGGAGGACCGACCACCAAAACACCATCGTCGGCAGCAGCAAGGCAAAACACCGGACGAGAGTTATCGGACGCAGTCGCTGAAACCTCAGAGAAGGCCAAAAGGATGCGACACCATGTCCCTGGTCAAGGATAGGAAACGCCACGCCGAAGGCCTACCGCCGGCATGGAGGCAGGGACCCCAATCCCCTCGAACCTGCGGCTGGAACCCTCCGCACCTGGACCAGAGAAGGATGTCGTTGATGAAAACAGGCCACCATTTGCCGCCCTCGCACCACACCCAACTTCACCACCACTCGAGCCATCCCCGGACGACACCCTCAGGAAGGAACACGCCACCAAAAATGCCGTTGTCGCCAGAACAAGGGGACCTGAGGCTTTCACCTGAGCTCTTAGACGGGATGGGAGGAGGGGGAGTCCCACCGAAGCCTCCAACAAGGTAAACGACGCACAAAGGCGCCGCCTTCGGTGTGGCCGCCGCGCCGGCCAGGGGTTTCCCCCGGATCCGCCCCCACGCACCAGATCCGCGCACCCGACGCCGAGATCCAGCGACCAGAGCCGCCAGAGGCCGAGATCAGCGCGAATCGGAGTGGATCG